TATATATATGCTCTATGTAGTTGATGGCTGATAGTCGGGTTTCTCACTCACTATACTCGCGCAGACAGAGGTATACAAACACAAATACCCATTCAGTGTACAACTGTGTTTTTCTCTCATTATATTATATTCTTGCACGAACTTCTTCGACGCTTCATCGTGCACGAGTGGCCACCTATGCCGTAGGCGGAGTAGCAAAGCCACTCATACACTTCCAAGTGTTTTATACATTGACTACATACATACATACGCGTCTTCTATAATCAGAGGTATTCATTACATATAGAAACACACCCTGTATAGTGGATAGCTGTGTATCTAACCAGCGGTATTCATATACATATACATACACACACATACCCTGTAGAGTTGATAGTTGTGTTCTTCACTCATTATGTTCTGGAGTTGCTCGAACTTCTTCGACGCTTTGTCCTGCACGAGTGTCCAGCTCTGTCGTAACCGGAACACGGCTTGACAGGAGAGCCCGCACAGTACCATCTTCAGCGAATTAAAGTTATTTTCTTTATGTAGCGAGGAAGCAATCTGTACATGTAAAGTATGTAGGTAAGTATGTAAGTACGTATGTAGGTAAGTATATGGTTGAGAACTTGTTCTTTTGAACTGGCCCTGGGTATGTCATAAGCTACGCAAAGACACTCATTTCTTAGTGGAGCGAGAAATTGGTCTTTTGTGGAGGAAGTAATATTCTACCTACCATTGAGGACACATTCATGTGTGTATAGAGTTCAGGGCAAGCCGTCTTCGTGGTATAGAGAGAAACCAACATGTGTATGCTAACTTACACCACGATATAATGTATGCCCGAATGTATGTGCCAAACCTCAAGTCCCTGACTAACCTATAAAGCTATGTACTTGAATAAACTTTTACATCTAACTACCTGGATAAACCGCTTCATGCAATAAGGCCTTGCCCCGGGCATGTTATACGACAAAATCTCTGTGGGGGCAGTCATGGTCAGTTTTTTCGGCCAAACTAAGCATATACAAAACTAATATCTCATCACCACTATAAGTATCTATGTAGCTTCAAATACACTGAAAAGTGCCTGGATAGACTTAAGTCCCTGAACAGACCTGTACGTCTAAGTACTTGAAAAATTCTATACATCTAAGTACCTGGATAAGCCTATACATCGAAGTATCTGGATAAACCGCTCCATACAGCGAGCTCTGGTACCAGGCGTGTCATAGGTTAAAGCTTCTGTGGGGACAGTCATGCCCAGTTTGTTCGACCACACTAATCATATACAAATCAATATCTCACCACCAGTATGAGTATATACGTAGCGACAAATACACTTTAAAGTGCCGGAATAGACCCAACACCCTGAACAAACTTACTTGTACATCTATGTACCTGAATAAACCTCTCCATACAGCGAGCTCTGGCACCAGGCGTGTTATAGGATAGGATCTCTGTGGGAACAGTCATGGCCAGTTTGTTGGACTCTTCGATGGCTGCGGAGATGTTGGGTGCGCTCTCGTACTTCTTATCCCGCTTTGACCAGACGCAATCTTGAAACTGTGTGTGTGTGTGTGTGTGTGTGTGTGCGTATGTGTAAACACATAGTGGCGGTGGTCAGGTACGGATTCGTCGTGTGTTGGTGGTGGGCTGGTTATGGTGTGGTAGTTTATAGTTCGGGTTTGGTGTGGTGAGTGTTTTAGTAAAAAAAGACTGTAAAACCTTTAACCCTTAAAGCTTAAAAATTAGGTTTATTCTCGTGCTTCATATCTCGCCTTGACCAGAATTAAATCTTCGGATTGGGGGTGCCACAGATATAAAACTGCGTGTTTCAGTAAATTAGAGCTCCTGTTGGAAGAAGTGGAAGATACATCGGCGTTCACAGGTTGAAAAAGTTTAGAATGAATTACAAAAGCGATTCTGTCTATCCATTCGACTATCTCCGATACCAATACACACAAGCGCGAGATTGAGTTAAATACACGTCTCTTTGTGCATATATGTATGAGTACAATAGTATGTATAGTCTCTTGCGTATGTATGTGGAAAGCCCGAAGAATGTTGAGCTGCTTACCGGCATACATACATGTTTGCATATGAAACGACATACACATACATCACATGCAAACACGTGGAAGGGTATCTACATCTTCAGCCACACATAGCTACTACCATGTACACAGTAATACATAGTCTCTCATACATAAAGCGACATCGAACACACCAAAGGTATGTGCATCTTCAACATACCTGTATACTACCATGCATACAACTATACAGAGTCTTCTACACTTAAACATTACAAAGCACATCAACATGCATACAACCACATAAAAACACATCAACATGTATACAATTTACAGCCATTCCAAATACCTCGGATACTCCAATTTCGTCCCAACATAAGAACATCGTGCACGCACAACTATACAGAGTCTTCTATACTTAAACATTACAAAGCACATCCACTTGCATACATCCACATAAAAACACATCAACGTGCATACAACTTGTAGTCATTCTACATACCTCGGATACTCCAATCCGTCCCAACATAAGAACATCGCGCACGCACAACTGCGCACTCATTTCTTTCGGTGCCACTTTGCACATGTGCGGCAAATCATCCATGCACTCTGTGAGTGTAGGAAAGCAAGTGACTGTCGGATCAAATTCTGTCGTCCAAGAACGCTAGATTAAGTATAATTGTAAAGTTAACCATGTAAAAAGCGATTGAAAGGAACGGAGTATGTACCGGCGCATAACTGCTACGCAGAAACTTGAGGTGTGATACATGGGGATACATTGTACAGTGTGTGTTGTAATTGTGCTCTCACTCAATTATACGC